TGTAAATTAGTTATTTCTAAATCTAGAAATTTGTAATCAATAACTTGATTTATAGATTTAATACTTAAATGTGTGTTAATTTATATTAATTTATATCTTTTTCTTCCCATATGACAGCAATGGGGACATTAAGAATTCACCATAGTGGCACTTTTTGCATGAGTAGTAGTACGGATCTTAGGTATGCTGCAGGCAAAGTACATGATGAGGATATTGAATATCATCGTGTGACTTTGTCGTACTTAGAGGAGAGGGTAAAAAGCCTCGGATATATGCATTTTAAGGACATATATTACAGAGATCCTTATGTGGAAAAATTTGGTGAAGCAGTAAAGGTTATAAATAGTAAGCAGGAGTTTATTCACATGCGATACCTTTTAAATGAAAGGGGAATTATAGATGTGTATGTTGAGCATGTCTGTGATGAGCCAGATATTTTAGATTTGCTTGAAGGGTGCACTGTTATGCAAGAACCAATTGATGAAGGTACAATGGACATTGGGGAAGGCTGTGTGATACAAAATTCACAACCAGCCCCAAATTTTCATGAAGCTCTAGAAACAGCAGCTGAAGGTGATGCTGATGAAACAGATGCATTGCATGGAGGTGATGCAGCCCAACAAGAAGATCTACAGTACAATGATCATGATGATGAGGATTTGCTTGATATTGTGCCTAGTGATGCAGATGATGAGGAGGTGCTTGAATCTATTCACAATAAAAAGAAACATAAAGCCAGTGCAAGTGCAAGAAAAAATGCAGATGGTGTTGGACCAAGCGGCACAGTCCATGACTCCCCTACCACAGTTAATGAAGAGGGTAAAAGAGTTCCTATAGGAACTGATGACCATGGAGATTTGGGTTTTGATTTTAGCTTTGAAAATATTGAAGATGAATTTGAGGTTTCTAGTGATAATTTAGGTGAGTACAATGTTGCAGATGAACATGAACTTGAAGAAGAAGAAGAAGATGTAAGAAGTACTAGAAGTAGTGATTTATGGTTTAATCCTTCATGGACTACTGTTTGGTTTGAGGTAGGGATGAGGTTTGAGCATGTAGCACAGTTTAAGGAGGCTATAGCTAAATACCAAATTCAAAAAGACTGTAAGTTGAAACCTATTAAAAGTGACCCCACCAGGCAGAGAATTCACTGTGTTGGTCAACAGTGCAATTGGAGTATCTTTGCCAGTTTTGATAAAAATGACAAGACTTTTAAGGTGAAGACATATTGCAGGGAACACACTTGCTTTAGGAGTTTGAAGTCCAATATGGTTGGGTCGAGGGTACTTGCAGAACACCATAAGAACAGAATTATATCAAATCCGCAGATAAGAACCAGTGAGATAGTGAGATTGTCTCATTTAGAATTAGGGGTTCATGTTTCAAGGGATAAGCGTAAACTAGCAAAGGAAAGGATTGTGAAGAAGGTGAAGGAAACTCACACGAAGGAATTTGCTCAGTTAAGAGGGTATGCAGAAAAGCTGTTGATATTGTCCCCTCAGTCAAATGTTCAAATTGACAGTGAGCCACTCACAACTCCAGAGGGAAAACCTATGTTTAAAGGAATCTATGTGTGTTTAGAAGGATGTAGGAAGGGTTTTCTATTGGGCTGTAGACCAATAATTGGAGTAGATGCTTGTTTCCTCAAGGGGATGTTCAAAGGAACTATTTTGGCAGCTGTTGCAAGGGATGGGAACAATCAAATGTTCCCAATAGCTTGGGCTGTTGTTGACTCAGAGTCTACCAGCTCATGGACGTTTTTTTTTAGATGTCTAGCTGATGATCTATCAAATCACACTGGGCGAGATTTAACGTTCATTTCAGACCAACATCCTGTAAGTGTGCACAATCTATTATGAATTAATTTATATTATCAATATCTTTATGTTACTATACTCATCAATGCTATTTATTGTATAATTCAATTGACTTTATTATCAATCATTAACCTTATTTGTTTTCATTAAACACAATTTGGTAGGGGTTGATTAATGTAAGACAAACAGTTTTCCCCGAGGCTAGGCATAGATTGTGTGCCAGGCATTTATATGCCAATTGGCAAAAAATTTTCAAAGGGAAACTATTGAAGAAAAGATTCTGGATTGCTGCAAGGTCAACATATGAAGGTCAATTCAACAAAAACATGGAGGGGATCAGAAATTTATCCGTGGAAGGTCATGGTGCCTTAAAATCAATCCCACCAGAGCTGTGGTGCAAGGCATTCTTTGACACATTATGTAAATGTGATGTCGTGGATAACAACATGAATGAGACCTTCAACAATTGGATAATGGATGCTAGGTATATGCCAATCATCCAACTATTAGAATATATAAGGGTTAAGGTGATGGTTAGGATGGCTAAGAACAGAGAAGAAATCAACAAATGGAGAGGAGATATAGCACCCAGAATTAGGAAGAAATTAGAAGCACATAAGTTTGAAGCTGCCAAATGCAGATGTGAATGGAATGGCAGGACCCACTATGATGTTTGGCATTGGAATGACAAATTTGTTGTGGATTTGATTGGGAAAAATTGTAGTTGTAGAGCATGGGATTTAACAGGAATTCCATGTCTTCATGCATTGTCTGCGATAGGTTTAGGTAACTTCAACCTAGATGAATTTGTATCAATTTGGTACAAAAGGGTTAAGTATGAATGTGCATACAATGTACCAATCGTGCCTTGTAATGGTGAGAAATTCTGGGAAAATTATCATAGGGAGCCACTAGAACCACTGCCATTTAGATGCAAGCAGGGTAGGCCGAAGGTGAATAGGAGGAAGGGTGATAATGAAACCAGAAAAGTGAAGGTGGGACAGCTAGAAACGATGACAAGAGAAGGTGGACAAATCACGTGCTCACTTTGCAAGCAACCTGGACACAACAAGAGGGGATGCCACATAAGGCCAACTAAAAGTGAAGTAAGTTAATTACTTACACCTGCTTTATTATCAACAAATGATAATATAATGACATTTTTTTTTATGCCACAATAGGGAGCATCAGTAAGCACTCACCAGCCAATACCAAGAAAACCTCCAACTTGTGTATATTGTAAGCAGCCTGGTCACACCAGGGCAACATGCACTGCTAGATATTTTGTTGATGAAAATGTAAGTTTATTGAGTGGTAATTGCTTATGATCTATAATTTCCTATTAATAG